TGTCGATGCCTGTAGAGCGAGAAATCCGTCCCAGAAAACAGTGGAGAGCCATTTTATTTACCCGGTGGCCATTTTGAAACCGCCAATCAGCTGTTAGAAAATCGTCATTTTGTGAAGAATCGGTTCCCAAAGCAGGGAACCGATCATTGTAAAACGAAAAACCCCTATTCAGACCATTGTTTTACGATTGCAAAAGCGATCGCAAAAACGTCGTCGTAATGTGGTTTCGTCATAATGCGGGGCAATTGTAAAGCGGGGCACAACTATCATAATTATTTGACGATGTATATTGGACTCTTTGATGAGAAAGGGTTGGAAATGGGTACTGTCATTCCCAGTTTATGCTACAGTACTGGTGGGCTGCACATTCAACTCTGCCATCTGGTGGTTGGAGGAACTCTTGCTGACAGCCCTCACATACTCCTGGAATCTATTGTGTGAGCTGCCTTCCCCACTTCACTGAAAGGGAGGACAGCTTTGACTTCAGCTTTAACCTGCAGTAGCAGCTTTTGTTTAAAAAAAATGAAGAGAGGTTTTGAGAAATGGTTGCTTTATCTAGCCATGATTTCACTGGTGGTTTTAGGATGGAAAAGTGTTAATGAATTTCACAATTCTTATGTGTTCTCTTATGTTACATATTACAACAATACAGCTTTGTTGCTGACTGTATATAGAAATTTACGATCTATCCAGAGTCTTTGATTTTGAATAATATTTACAAAGTAATACAGTGGTGCCTTGACTTATGACCATAATCTGTTCCAGAAGGTAGACGTGCACACACAAATCACTGCATGACTCATTGCAAATGCAATTAATCCCTTCTGGTCGAAGGGGAGGAAAAAAAAAGAAAAACAATCAAGCATGCAAAAACCATTGGAAATGCACAGAAAACAAATGGAACAGATTGGAAATGCACAGAGAACAAAGGAGGCAGGTCGGAAATGCAAAGAAAACAAAGGAAACAGCAAGAGAAGCCTGCACGACCCATCAGAAATGGGGATCCCCCAAAAAAGCAACCAAATCCCCCAAGACCCATTGGAAATGGGGGGAAGCCAAAAAAACAAATCAATCCCTCAAGACCCAACAGAAATGGGGGAAAACCCCAAAAAGCAACCAAACCCCCAAGACCCATCGGAAATGGGGGGAAATCACAAAACAAAAAACAAACCGCCCAAGACCCATCCAAACCCGGAAAAAACACTCCAAAAAGCAACAAAACCCCCAAGACCCATCAGAAATGGGGGAAAAAAAAACAAAAAACAACCCCCCAAGACCGATCACAGCACAGAAACATAACCCCCACAGCCTAAAATCCTGCTGCAAAAACACCCAGAACAGTTTTAAAAAAGCAGAAAACAGCACCTTACCTTACCAGGCAGCCCAAAGCCTCTCTACAAACACACACACACGCTCACTCAGGAGCAGAAGTGAGGCATTCTCAAGTCTCCTCTGATGCACACTCTCTAATTGCTGGGGCAAAAGAGCTACAAAGAAGCAGCCTCGTCGCCACCTACACTTAGAAATTTGAATTTCCCGCCTTTCCTCCCTGCATTTGTCTGTTCATAAGTGGAAGCTCTGGTCGCAAGTAGAAGCAAAATATTACGGCCGGAGCTGGTCAGAAGTAGGGACATTCGTAAGTCGAGGCACCACTGTATTAAAACAGTGAGAGGACAATGTGAAGTGGAGAAGTTGAAGTGGGAGAATGGATTAGGGACAAATAAGAGACTGGTTCCATAAATCTTTATAATACAATAATAAATATGTGCGATTGAGTCAATTATGATACATTTTCCAGGTTCTCCGGGTAGAGAATACTCAGAAATGATATACCATTTCCTAGATTTTTATTGGTGCTTTTATAATAAACATGCGATTGAGTCAATTATGATACATTTTCCAGGTTCTCCGGGTAGAGAATACTCAGAAATGATTTACCATTTCCCAGATTTTTATTGGTGCTTTAAAAAAAATAACAATTAGTGATTAATTAGTATTAACTTAGAATAAGGCCAATTTGATATGGAGCCTATTTATTCTTTGCAATTGTCCAGCTGATATTTTGCCATGGGGCAGAATGAGAAGGGCCATGCATCTTGGCCCAAACTGATGCATTAATGGGTCTTTACTTTTCCACGTCTGGCCTGCTGCTTTTTTCGTGACCGTTTAACTCCTCTCAGGCCAAGATTGTGAATCCAGGCGAAACTCTATTCTTCTGGCAAGTGAGCCTCTGGGCTCAGTCACCTCTCTTGTCCCTATATGACACGCCCCTGGAGGCCATGTGAAACCGAGTGACAGTCATCCTGCTTCTGAAATCACATAGGTCTAAAAGGGTGGTGAGGACATGGGTATATACGTAAGACCCACCCCTATGCCTGCAACTCAGCCAGAGGTAAGGCAGAAAGCACGATCATCAGGACTCTGTCAACCTTATCCTTGTCCTGATCACGGAAACACTGTATATACATTCAGTTGATTTCATATACAGGCTTCATGTTAAACATGTGCAAGTCTGAGTGAATTCTGAGATGGAAATGCGGCCTTACCACACTTTCAGCCCTCAGCGGCCGTTCTGAAGTCAAGACCCCACTGTATACATTCAGTTGATTTCATATACTGTACAGGCTTCATGTTAAACATGTGCAAGTCTGAGTGAATTCTGAGATGGAAATGCGACCTCATGTGCGCACCTCCCACCTTCACCACACTTTCAGCCCTCAGCAGATTCAGGCATAATACCTAACGAGGATTACAGTCTCTTCACAACTTCGGAATACTTATAAAATTCCAATATCCTATCCTTCAGTATCTATTAATGTTTTTAGGTCAGACAAATTAAAGAATAATTCCGCTAGGGATGAGCAGGTACATCAATTCCATTTCTGTGGACATCTCCCTTTTCCCACTTGGAAAGTTTTACAATATAGGCTGCTGTGAAGAGGTATGATAGTTAGTGCTGTTGGAACAGCTGAAAAACCAGAATAAAGAGTCAGCCCAAACTATAGCCTTTTTTACGGACCCCTGGTTCCTGTTCATAATATTTATAAATAAGCTTTCTAAAGACTTCAGGCATCTCCTGGTAACATTCTGGAAGGACATCATATCACCGTCATGAAACAACAAAAATTATGAAAGAGGAAAACTCAGATGGATACTGTTTATCCATCTTTTAAATAAGCTTTCTAAAGACTTCAGGCATCTCCTGGTAACATTCTGGAAGGACATCATATCACCGTCATGAAACAATAAAAATTATGAAAGATGAAAACTCAGATGTTTATCCATGTTTTTGATTGTCACACTCCTGCAGGCATTTTTAATCATACAGGCTACACATTGCCCGCTCAGCAAGCTGATTGTCACACTCCTGCAGGCAGGTCATCTCCCTAGAGTAAATTTAATATTTAAGGGAGTGGGGTTAACAACCCAAGCAAAACTTTTTTTTAAAATCCTTAATGGATTTTTGGAACAAAGCAGAATTGTGTTGTTTCCATTTGAAATAAAGCAGAATTGGGTTGTTTCAATATGCTAGCATATGGCAAATGTCATTTTGTAACAATTACGTTTGTACAATTAGTCTAATTGGCGTGTTCTTTAATTCTGCCTTGATTACGGATGGTTCAGCGAGCTTTACTCCCATATCTGTTTCACATCGGAGAATTCAAAGCAGCTTAATTTGACTAATCTGCTTAAACCAGGTCAGACAGAAAAAGCTTAATATCTTTCTAAAAAGCTGCATGACTGTCATAAGAGTAGTAAAATACAGTGGTGCCCCGCTTGACAATTACCCCGCTCCACGATGAATCGGCTTTACAATGAGTTTTTTAAATCGCTATTGTGATCGCAAAACGATGTTTTAATGGGGAAAATCCGCTTGACGACGATCGGTTCGCTGCTTCCAGAACCGATTTTTTTCTTAACAACGATCAAAAACAGCTGATCATGGGGAAAATCCGCTTGACGACGATCAGTCCCCTGCTTCCAGAACCGATTTTTTTTTGCTTAGCGACGATCAAAAACAGCTGATTGAATGGCTCCCCGCTGTGCAAAATGTCTCCCCACTGTGTTCAGGACAGATTCTTCACTTTATAGGCATCGGAAAATGGCCATCCTATG